GAGGTTCCTCAAAATCGAGTAATATCTCAAGATTACTGAGGATAGTCACAACCGATAGAGAATGAATGGAATTGATATTTAAAAGTCATAATATGGCCATATATATCAATTAGAGAAGATTAATCAAAATAAAAATACCACGACTATCGCAAGTTAATCAAAAAATTATGATCCTAAATAAATAAAAAACTGGTGATTCATTATAGCTGATATTTATTCATTGGGACAAGATATAATGCAAGTATAGATTCCTCGCAGTTTATAATGCCGAGGGTAGGTTCATGCTAATGTTCAAAGTATTAAAGTGAAGGCGAGTAGCTTTTAAAGAAATTATATACCTGCATAGCTGCGGGGCTGCGGACGAGGATTTAGCAAGGTCGGATGAATCAGCAGAAGACATAACCTTGGGACCTACAATTGATAAAGAATTAAATATAATCATAATAGCCTTGGAAAATTCCATATTTATGAAGTACAAAACGAACAAGGATAGGGCAATGGCGAATTTCGAAATGCAATTTGATATGGTAAGGAGAAACTCTGGAGATTCGAAAATGAAATTCTCGCAACAAGCTCTATCATTATCTAAGCTTGCCAATAGGGGGTCCCATCGTATTTAACGAAGATTGTCTGATCTTCCGTATTCAAATAATCCGAGGCAGTTTTAGATGAGATTTCTTAACAGCATAAAAGGGCTCAGTTATTTAAAAACTATGAATACGAACGGATACCTGGCAAGGAATTGGAATTTGCTGTAACCGTTACTGGTTCAGTTATCTGTCTTTCTGAGGGCGTAGACGTAGAGTTTGTAGAACAAGGGGTCGTAAAGCGCTGCTTCTGCGTGATAGCTTCGTGGAGCATATGGACCAGCTCATTCATGAGACTTGATGAAGCGTTGGTAACAGAACTTGGGGGGTTAGGTAAAGTGGCAGAGGTCGGGGCATTTGCAGCCGAAACTGAAGGAGGGCCAAAATTGTGATTTTCCAAGGATGCAAGTGGTGTGGAGACTGGATCCGACTTATCTAAAAAGGGAGGAAATTTGTTCAAAAAATCTAAAAGGCGGCAAGACAGGGCCGCCAAAAAATCATTGGTCGCGGGTTAGCGTATTATGAGACCAGCTCTCCTTTGGACAAAAATAGAGACGATTCCAGAGCTTCGATTTACCGAAGAACAAGCAGGAGACCGAATTCTCAAATATATACATATACCTAATGATTCAAGAATAATAGTATTGCCGAGACTTTCATTTCGTATGAGTGTATGAGGAAGAGATTCGAAGGTCGATCTCACCAGTACATGCATTCGTAAGAGTGAATTTTTATGGTTATACTCACCCATTGCTGTCAATCAGGGATGAAAAGATATCAGAGTATGGGAACTTAAAAGGGAATACTATTAAACAAATAAATATATATATACAGGATATGAGGAAATTGATGGCAAACCTTGAAGTCGAGTACAATTATCTAGATGAATACATGCCATTTACGCAATAATAATTACATAAAAGAAAGGTATAATAAAAGTAGCTAAAGATAAAACAAATGCGAAATTTCTATAAGCCAGAGTGACGAGAGGATAAAACCCAAGAGGAAATCAGAGTGAATACCATTCACGAGTTAACAAGCCTGCATTTGCCACATTTCATGAGATGAAATTTAAGCAAGACGAATATAATTATGTTAAGGATGTGTGCGATAATAAGAAAACACAAGTCACTTGTTACGATTAGGTTTACGATAAAAGGACGTGAGTTCAAATCCGGACTTCGCTCGAATCGATACAATACATTAAAAAAGGGAAGCCTTGTGGCATAATTTTAATTCCAAAGCTTAAATCTCGAGATATGAATATCAAGAAGATATAGCCTTAGGTTTTGCCAGTCCCCTTCAATTTGGAGGCCGAGTGGCGCAAAAAGTGAGACAAGATTAAACAAGTTTTACTTAATGAACAAAGGTTAAATAAAAACTATTGAACTACTTGCACATTAAATGGAAATGCCATAGCAATACAAATTCGTTTAAGCACCGTTAGCATCTAAAATCAACATGGAAGGGTAAAAAGTAGACAGGGTCCATTAAGCATTAA